TATTGATTTAAATTTTCTTTAAGTCACAGTTTTTCGTTCTAGTGGTGGTTTTGACACACTAGCATTAAATACAACAGCGAAGTGATCAAGTGACGTTGAGAGGGCGAAAACGCGAAAACACGATATGAGATTGCGAGAACACGACGCAAAAAAATATCGCGTTTTTGCGCCGTTGATGTCGCGTTTTATTGTTTTTGCCCTACTGACTGCGAGGGCGAAAACACGATGGGAGATCGAGGGCGAAAACACGAAATAAATAGCGCGATACTGCGATTGTTTTCGCATCGTGTTTTATCGCGATCTCTTATTGTGTTTTTGCTTGATCGCATCGTGTTTTCGCGTCAAGGTATCATGTTTTTGCGATATCGCCCCTAGGACGACAGCACGAAACCGCGCTGGCCCTAACGGAATACCGTAGCAGAGTGCATTTCTATATTTATTTTCTTGAATTACACTTATGTATTTTTTTAATTCAAAATTATGTTTCTTAAAAGTGCATATTTCTGCAGTCTACCATAATCATTTATGTCAGAGCACACACTTGCTTATAAGTATCATATATACGTTGTTTAATAATTGGAATAGAAATATCTCCGAAGCCTGGTTTAGCCATACTTGTCATGATTATCAAGGAGCTACATAATATAATCTGCCCAATTATTATCATTATACATTCTGTTTTACTCAGCATCTTCTTAAAGCATAAAGTACTCCGGTTTAATTCGGGAAGTGCTATCTTGTGCTAAACATTTACCCAAAATTTTAATATAATTATTTTTCTTTGTATTTCTAATGGAAATCTACCTGTTTCCCCGATAAGTGCAGACACATTTGTAGACTTTTTAACACTAAGAACACTCCTTATAAAATATTTGTGTTTTTATTCTATATCTTGAGATTATTATGTTATTAAAATGATACACTTTATTCTTTCAAAAAATGACCCCTATTGGCCCTTTTGAGGTTTAAACTTACGATCCTCAGTTTTAACGCGGTTGACAGTAATGAACACTTTTCAAAAGCGGAGGTAATGCATAATGATGACCATATCTTTTTTAACAATGGCCGGTTGGACTGGTTGATGCTACCCGAATAGGTTTTGGACACAGAAAAGTAAAGCTGTTGTAGTTTCAGAGATATGTCACGGTCAAGGTTCGAACTGCAGTTATTCAAAATTTAAGCAAGGAAGAGTTACTTCTGTTTGCACTGCACTTTTACTTAATAAGATTTATCGATCGACTTTGTTTCTTGTTGATACCACTTGTAGTTTCACAGTAATGTCTCGATCAAAGTAAACGGTGTAAAGTTGAAAATGGGTAATAACTCCAAAAAAAGGCAAGGCAGACTTTCGTTTCTTTTACGTTGCATATCTATCTACATACAAAGTTTCATGTTGATTTTTTTTATAGTTTTAGAATAATGTCCCAGACAAAAGTTCAAAGTGAAAAATGAACAAAAGGCAATAACTTCAAAATTAGGTAAGATAGAGTTATAGTTCGTGTTACGGAATGAGGTACGGATTGTATAGATGTTCACCAAGACGAGTGTTTTCCCTTGCTGGTCTTTGTACGCCATTTGCAAAAAAAAAGAACTTTCGTGAAAGTTAAGTTTTTCAGAGAAATTTGTATAGTTCTCAACGTTTATAAGAAGGTGGCAAGGAGGTTTTAGCACTATATATTGTCATTATTTTTTGCTCCCTTAACATATCGTTCAATTGCTTTTCAAATACTGTAATTTCGGTTAATGTCGTGTTAATCCGTATATTGTCGTCCTCATAATATTTCGTACTTATTTTGTATTTCAGTTTTTTACTCCAATTATTCCGAACGTAGGCAAGACAGTGTTGCGGTTCTTTTGTACAGCACTTATACCCAATGAGATGTATCTACCTGCAAAGTTTCTTGTTAATATATCATAGTTTCAGAGTTATGTCCCGTACAAAGTGTTAAAAATGAACAAAGGGCAATTACTCTAAAATTAGGCATTTGTGTGCACTGAACATCTACCTTGTGAGATTTATCTTCTTCAAAGTTTTCTGTTGATACCTATTAAGGTTTTAAGTTATGTCCCGGATATAGTTTAAAGTGTAAAAATGATCAAAGGGCAGTAACTCCAATATTATTCATGGCAGAGTTAATGTTCTTCTGAACTGCACTTTAATTAAATGAGATCTATCTACATACAAAGATCTCGTTCATAACTTTTATAGTTTCAGGTTATGTCCAAGACAAGTTCAAAGTGTAAAAGTGAACAAAGGGCAATTATTTAAAACGCAGGCAAGGCAGTGTTGTGATTCTTTTGTACAGCAATTCTACATAATGAGATCTTTATACCTACAAAGTTTCGTGTTAATATCTCATAGTTTCAGAGTTATGTCACGGACAAAGTTCAAAGTGTAAAAATGAACAAAGGGCAATTACTTTAAAATTAGGCAAGACGAGTTTTTATGCACTGCACATCTACGTAATGAGATCTAGCTACCTACATAGTTTTATGTTGATACCTCTAATGGTTTCAGGTTATGTCCCGGTAAAAGTGAACAAAGGGCAGTAACTTCAAAATTAGGCAAGACAGAGTTTAAATTCTTTTGTAATTTACTTTTAATGAATGCGGTCTATTTACCTACAAAGCTTCTCTTTCATACCTTTTATAGCTTAAAGTAATGTCCCGGACAAAGTTAAAAGTGTAAAAGTGAACAAACGGAAATTACCCCAAAAGTAGGCAAGGCAGAGTTACGATTCTTTTGCACAGCACTTCTACCTAATGATAACTCTACCCACAATATTCCTACTTGAATAATGTTGAATCACCCTTAGGATATGTTGCCTGCTTTTTAAATTTGTCTTTTGACGTCTTGTCTGTGATACGCAGGCTTCATGACCTCTGATCCCCTTTCAAAATTCCATTTTATTTAGTTCCGCCCATTGTTTTCTCGTTTAGGGCACACGCTTTTTATTACTTTGGGACCATACGCCGCTTTTCATTGAATGGCGTGGAAGTGTCACATTGAAGGTTCCATGATAACCGCCGTATGAACACATCTGCGGATGTTTCTAAATTCAAAATTTTACTATTTCACGTTTAAATGTTGAATTCTGCTTAAGCCGGTGCTAGGGGGCGTGGATGGTAACTTGCACTTTCCAGTACCGTCCATGAACAGGCTCAATCAAACCGAGCCTGCAACATTTTCAATTTTGCCGTGTTGGGCTTTCTTTAGGGACTCTGTATTTATCTATTTCATGTTAATATCTCATAGTTTCAGAGTAATGTCCCGGACAACTTTGAAAGTAAGAAAAAATAACAAAGGGCAATAACTCCAAAATTATGCAAGGCATAGTTGCGGTTTTGTGCGGTGCACATCTACCATTTGGGATCTATGTTCCTTCAAAGTGTTATGTTGATACCACATGGTTTCAGGTTATGTCCGGTATAAAGATTAAAGTGTAAAAGTGAATAAAGGGCAATAACTTCAAAATAAGGCAAGAAGAGTTTTTATGCACTGCACATCTACCTAATGAGATCTATCTACCTACAAAGTTTTATGTTGATACCTCTAATGGTGAACAAAGGGCGGTACTTAAAAATTAGGCAAGGCAGCGTTTAAATTCTTTTGTAATGCACTTTACAGATTAATATCTATCTACCTACAAAGTTTCTCGTTCATACCTTTTATAGTTTTAGATAATGTCCCGGACAAAGTTCAAAGTGAAAAAGTAAACACAAACGAAAATTACACCAAAAGTAGGCAAGGCAGAGTTATGATTCTTTTGCACAGCACTTCTACACAATGAGATCTATATACCCACAAAGTTCCATGTTAATATCTCATAGTTTCAGAGTAATGTCCCGGACACCTTTGAAAGGAAAAAAAATAACAAAGGGCAATAACAAAATTATACAAGGCAGAGTTACGGTTTTTTGTGCGCTGCACATCTACCAAATGGGATCTATCTTCCTACAAAGTGTTATGTTGATACCTCATGGTTTCAGGTTATGTCTCGGATAAATTTAAAAGTGTAAAAGTGAACAAAGGGCAATTACTTCAAAATAAGGCAAGGCAGAATGACGGTTTTTGTTCACTGCACATCTACCCAATGAGATGTATCTACCTGCACAGTTTTATGTTGATACCTCTTGTTGCTTTCAGAGTTATGTCCCAGACAATAAAAGGGGGAACGGGCGGAAGGACGGACGTTTTTTATGAGTTGACATAATGTTTTTTATTTGTTTTGTTTTTTTCTTTAATCTTTTTTTATCATAAGCAACGTATTTGCATCCCATAAGTAACATTTTTCACACAAGTACAAGGTTGTGCGGAATGAACATAGATATTCACCCCATAATGTCACCTAAGTTCGAACAGACAAAGCGGCGCCTTAATGCTCACCCTTCGGTGGGTATAAAATGTAAGTATACCTTATATATATAACTAGTGCTATACACATTTTTAGTTTGAAGGATAATCGTCAATAAATAATGTCTTTATTATAATTACTTCAGACGAAAAGAAACAGTAAACGGCTAATGTTTTAAGTAAGTCATAGATTACATAAAACTCAGAAAATGCTCAAGAATTTGCGTCAATTTTAGAACGTGTCATTTTATTTCATAAAATATCACTGATATGTCGAAATCAACAAATATTAGAACAATTGTACTAGACTTTTTCCTTTCTTATATAATATTGATAAAATTTATATAATGTTTACCTGAAAACTTAATAAGACTCCTAATAACTATAATTTCTTGTCTTTAAAATCCTTCAAATAAACGAGATGTCTATAAACACAATAATTCCAATAACCTATAAATTTACACTATACGGATTTTCGAAAGAAAATGTTATTTTTCACAGAATGTGGTAGGTTTGTATGATACAACTATTATCCAACGCTTCAAAATAACTATTGAATTGGAGTCTTTGATACCTGGTGTAAGCGTTAAATCGTTATTTGTCAATAAACTTGCTGTATTACTACATACGGATAAGTTCGTTTGAACATTCTTATACTTTTGAAAAGTAATTGAATTGTGTTTGTGTGAGAATGGCTTTTAGAGTTCATCTTGGAATTGGTAAAAATATAATTATTTACTATTGTTTTCATTCAATATCGTTTGACATAGTGAATTAACAAGGTAAAAAAAAATCTAAGGAATATTAACCGTAAAAAAGTGAATATATACTTCTTTGGTTCGGGCAAGCATGTGTTAAAATTGTTCAAATAATTGATATTGAGCTTGTTATATGCTTATGTTCGGAAGAAATTAGCGCTTACTATAAAATATGAATAATTTGTCATGAGTGGCAAAACTTAAACAAAGTGATATTTTGATGTCAATGCAAAATTCTTAATCCCTTTAAAATACTACTGGTTTAGCGTTTTGTCAATTTTGAATAAACAATCTGATATTTGATAATAGACATTGAAGCAAGATATATGACCCGGACTGTCCTGGATGGTCATTGCTTAGCGCCTCATGATATCAAATACTTTCAGATTGGACATTTGTGGCTTGTATTTACTACTTATTGTCATATTCTAACTAAGCCACGTCAGTATTTGGCACGTGCTTTATTTAAATAAATTCTGTTTTAAAAATTGTATCTACTTTTCAATAACGCTTTCGTACCAAAGTCAAAATGGAAAAACAGTCGGGTTTTAAGGCATAATTTAACACCTCTCGCAGATAAGAATGATGTGCATTTCATATTGTTTGTTAGCGTTGTAAATTATAATTCTATATTTAGGTCATTTTGTGTTTTATGCGTCCATTCTGGAGAACATTTATACTATGTTCTGACTTCTTGCTACGACTTATCGAGGAATATTTGTATATTTACATTCAAATGGATGATATCGAAAAATCTAATTCCCGTAGTCATTGCTTAATTTAATTTCCTGTTTTATTAACTTTTTTATATGCCCGAAAAATTTCGGGCATATTATGTTATACCCCCTGGCGTTCGTCCGTCCGTCCGTCTGTCCGAGCAAACATTTTGGGTTTAGGGGCTATATAACAGTAAAGAGAACAAAAGGGTTTATGGGCTAGTAGCCCTTAAGAAAACAAAGAAAATAACAAAGAAAATAGCCCCTAAACCCAAAATGTTGGAACGTCCGTCCGTCCATCTGTCCGTCCTTCCGTTAGCAATTTGGTTTCCGGAGAATAACTTAAGTTCCATGTGGCCCGAAATATTCAAACTTCATAGGATGATTGTCAATATTGAGCAGAGGACCCATATTGATTTTGGGGTCACAACGTCAAAGGTCAAGGTCATAATTACTTAAAAACCGAAAGCAGTTTCTGGAGCATAACTTAAGTTCCATTTGGCTCACAGTGTTCAAACTTCATATGATGATTGTCCATATTAGGTTAAAGACCCTTACTGATTTTGGGTTCATAAGGTCAAAGGTCAAGGTCATTATTACTTTAAAACTGAAAACAGTTTCCGGAGCAAAACTTAAGTTCCATTAGGGCCCAATATTCAAACTTCATAGGATGATTGTCAATATTGAGTAGAAGACCCCTATTGATTTTGGGGTCACAAAATCAAAGGTCAAGGTCACAATTACCTTTAAACTGAAAACAGTTTCCGGAACATAACTTAAGTTCCATTTGGCCCAAAGTGTTCAAACTTCATTGGGTGATTGTCAATATTGGGTAGAACACCCCTATTGATTTTGGGATCACAATGTCAAAGTTCAAGGTTAGTATTAGCTTTAAACTTAATAGAGTTTCTGGAGCATAACTTTTGTATCATTTGGCCTACAATATTCAAACTTCATAGGACGATTGCTATTTGAAGGAGGTACTACTTCATTTAATTCTCATGTCTTACAAATTCTTCATCCTTACTTTAAAAAAAACACTTTCTGGCATATAATGCTCCGTCTAGCGGTGCTCTTGTTAAATATTTAATATTTCACAAACATGTAATCGAACGGACAAAGGAATATATGCACCTGTTTTGCCTAAATGTATTTCGTTTGGCAATATATAGCGTCTTTGTTTCTGAACACAAAAGGTTTTTTACTGCTTGTATAATTATATCATTATTTGTAGAAAAAGGAGGGGTTCAACGTGACTAACTTCATACAATTATTTTGTATTCATATTGAGATTGAGAGTTACCTTTTGTAAAAATGTCTTTCAATTACAATAATTGTAGACTATCTTTTGTTAACGCGATCAGATACTTACCTTTTTCATAAAGCTAATAGCCTTTTTCAATATTGACATGAATAGCGTTTTGTTATTTACAGCATTGATGTATAGTTTTATTTCTCAAAGTTTGATTTTTTTGTAGATAAGGGGGTTTAAATTTCGCATCGGGTTGAAAAGGTTTGTCAAACACTATTTTACAACTGACTTGTGCATTATCAAACTAAAGATTGTTTACAGCTCATCAAATGTTAAAATAGCTTCTTGGCTTAAATTGTGATAAATATGCTTTTAAAACACAAGAGAATATTTTACGCCTTTTGAATATACACAAATATGGTAGAGTGGTATAATGAGCTTCTCGTACATTTTTGTACTAATGACAGCAATATTATATTGTCTGTGACATTAGTGTTGACATGATATACTTTTAAAGAATTAAGCTGCGAATGTATTCAAGAGTACTATATAATGGATCCACGTTAAAAGAAGATAAAATGATATATGCCTAAATTAAATAAGAAAAGAAAATAACATGGAAAGCTAAAAATGACATTTCTTTATACTCGTTGCAAGTAAAGGACTTTGAGACGATTGTGAAAGATAACATAAAGGAAAGCTATATAAGATGTCGAAATGTTCAAATGCTTATATTATACACTTAAACATTTTACAGTATGTTTACATTTATTTCAGAAATGTCGTTTTGATGCGAAAATAATTAACCACTCAGGCCTACGGCCTTCTTGGTCTATTCCTACGCATCAAAACTCCAAATAGCCGATATACACCTCTCAGGCCAATGTTATTTCGATTCTAACACGATTAAATAAGGAAGATCACTATTGTTATTTTTTCAAGCGGAAATAACTTCAAGTGCCGATTTTCGTATAACGCTGTTCGATTTTCGCAACCTTCTGTTGCGAAGATATAGAAATTATTAAACAAAAGAAAAAATAAGAAAAAACGTTATTTTATCAAGTTTTCAACAATAAAAACGTACGTCGTATTGTGTTTACATAAGTGCCCCATTTATCATTCTTGTATGTATGAAATAACGTCAGCTTGTTTATGAATAAGTTGTTTACTTAGGATGACGTCATTACGCTGCTTGCGGATTGGCGCCGTTTTGTCAAAATATTTATTAACTGATATGGATCAAATATTTCTCGTTAATGTATGTGAGATATTATCTAGGTATTGTTTGAAAAGAAAACATTATAAGAACTGAAAATATAAATAAAAATGTTTTTTATTGTTGCTTTAAAAGGCTTTGTTAACTATATAATCGAGGGTTAAAACATAACAGCCGCATAACAGCCGCATAAACAAGTAGTCCCTAACCAGTGTTTATTGGCAGTTTAACACCTTTTTGTTTTCCCTTCTTTGTCTATAGTGACAGTATCACGTGATGTCAGTAAAGATATCATCGCGAGGCAAATACTGTTACCTGAGATGTTATATTTTCTTTATTTTATCATCCCGAACAAATGTTAAATTTTCAACTAAATCTACAAACAAAGTTAAACCAAAAATAACAATAACACTCAATTAGCCTTACCTTTTAAGTAGCTCTGTTGAGGGCTACATGCCAACTGGAACTTCATTTATCATAGCTGCCATTCTGGATGCATTCTATATGACCCAAATAACTTTGTATCTGCAGGATATTCGGATTTAAGAACGCTGGAGTCATGGTCTTCGCAGTATTGAGATTATTTGTTTTGAGCGATACCTGGAGCAAACTATAGGCGAACAATAAGTCCAACCTAAATGTTACATTGACACGTTCTGTCGGCTTTACTTGCGGACTAAATGTTCAACTTGCTTTCTGTTGGGTGTTTTACTGATAATGCCATTCAAAGAGGCACAGAGCATGCCTGTGACCTTTAGAATCCTTTCAACAGGTGTTTGGCAACGTTGAGCCACTGGTTTGGCTACTCTATATAATTTTCCGGTGACGATACCTTGAAAACGTCTCCAACCAATATTTGAGCACATACTGGTCTCCTGTATAGCAGTGTAGATGGATAGGATTACATGATCTGACGTACTTCTTTAAAACATGTTAAAGAAATAAATATACTTCTGAACCACAGTCACCCTCTATACCTCATCAATGAATCACCAGCACATGACGATCTTCCATCTTTGGTATCATTTCCAACAATTCCACCTGATAAGCGCAGCACATCATCGGTTGCGTTCATTGAACACCGCCTTTCCTTGTTGATCTTGTTTATCATATTTTGTGTGATCACTTGTGCTTACTTGGTTTAAATCACATTTTCTTCCGTTCAATACTCTCTCATAAACAGGTTTGTGCCTTTAATAATCATGGAAGATACCAGGGATATGCAGCATCAGCGTGAACTTTCATGTACTAAGCTGGTTCCAAGCAGATTGGACCCAGCATTTAGCGCTTTCACGCGTTTTTGGTCTTTTCCCTGTATATATCTCTTATCTTCTGTTGATCTCCTGACTTTTAGTCAAGTATCCTCCCTCTTCTGTTATGTAGGAGTGAACGGAGCAGCCGGTCGTTTTTCGAGTAGGGCCTGTTTTATGTAACTGACTGTCATGCAATTTCCAGTATTAAAAAAAACGCTTTCCATCTTGTCCTAAGGTAGCAGATAACTTAAAAGGAGCTCTTGTCTTTCTGAAGAATAAAAATAAGGTAAACAAAATCAACAAGGAAAGGTGGCGATCAATGAAAGCAATTCCAACACGACCTAGCAACAATGACTAGTGGCCAGGAACCCATGAGACCCATGTCTTTTATTTTTGTCCTTGCGTAATCGGCATTTATATCGGTCAATGTAAAGGGCATCTATAGCGGTGATATTTATGCATGATCCATGGCACTAATCATTGCAATATTCACACTGTATCATGAATCTTCCGTTCCATGATTT